AAAAAAAAAAAAAAAAAAGAAATGTGTAGATATTTCACACTTTGCAGTGAAGTTAACAGGAATCTAGAGGGGCTTGAGACTCAGGGACTTTAGTTTTTGAACCAGATAACTGCATTTGAAAGCACAGTAATGAGCTAGAAGATTTCAGAAGCAGGAACTGGAGTTTCACTAGTGGGGAGGTGCTGAAGATAAGAACTAGGAATAGTTATATAGTGTTTGGAAAATGGCAGAACCGTCTATGGAAACTCACCCAGTGGCACTGACAATCTGATTCAGGTTGGAGCCAGAGGAAGTCAATATCCCAATCTCCACTTACATCTTTTTTTTTTTTTTTTTTTTTAATGCTGAATAACATGTTCCACCACTGAGCTACATCCCAAGTTACAGGACTTTGAATGCCTGGCCTCAGCAGCCAGGGAGCCAATCACATTGATCTGGGTGTATACAAGAGGACTGAGGATCACTGAAATGGTTAAAGACCAATGTCCAACTGAACAGGGAGGAGAGTCAAGAGGTTGACAAGGCAGATGTCCAAGGGCTGCAGTGTTCGGATTCAGTAACAGGTGGGACTGCTGAAAACAGCCATTAAAGGTTGTGATCAGAACAGGGCATCTCAGTTTACTCTCCAAAGACATTCCACATGACAAGGTTATGAGATGTGGTCATGAGAAGGAAACGCCTGAAAAACTAGACACTGAGGCCAGCCTTATGGCTCAGGCACGGATCCACCTGTTAAACCACACCACACCTATTTCTTTTGAAAAAGTTACAGTTGAGGCACAAAGTAGAACCAAAATTGTACTATAGTAACTTGTTGGCTTTTTAGCAATCAGGTTTGTTAAGAAGGGAGGGGGACACGTTGGTGAATTACCGATGGTGCCTGGCAGGTGTCTAGATGGGTAGAAGGAGAGGGAAGAGGTGCCCTGTAAGGAAGCACAGGTACCTCCAGAGTAGGACTCCTTCACACCAGCCAGAAAGAACAAGAGCCCTCAGCTCAATCTGCCACACATCCAAGAACCTGCCCCTGCAGAAAGGACAGGGACTGTGACCCAGATGGTAAAACCCACTGCAAATGTCAGATTCCATTTTAAGTTCGGTTTTAAAAACCTGACTCCAGCTTCAGAGTTACTTTAGCTTTGCCAGTGGTTAAAGACTTAAAGCATGCAGCAAGAGTAAAACTCTTGGTCATTCTGGGCTGCTGTGGTTCCCTCTTGTTAAACAGTCACTTTGTTCAATTTGGCCACAGTCCACGTTTTGAATGTGAGGACAAGACCAGACAG